GCCGCTGTATCTTTTGTCTTTTTTTTTTCTTTCTTTTTTTTCTTACTTAGGGGCCAAAAAGGCTGTCAAGGATGCAGGGTATAGGAGACTCGGAGGCATGTCTCCAACTGACCCTTGGAGGGTAGGAGGGGCGCGGTTCGCGTTCCTAGACTGCATCAGGAAGTCCAACAGTCCTTACCCACGATCCATCGCGGCAAAAGAGTAGGGAGGGGGGTAAAAAAGGCTTTGGTCTCCATCAAAACTCCATATCCATATCGACCTCGCTTTCGCCTTCCTTTCCCTTTTCTAGTGGGATGCCCGCCTGTCCGTCCGGGACTAAAATGCACCCGCTAAACCAATGAGCAAGATATTACAAACAGTATCGAAGTACAAGTTTTCATGGTGATGATGGCGCGAGTGAGCCCGCAGAAGCAGAAGTAAGGGGAGCGAGTGAAGGGGGAAATGCCGAATGTGCGTAGCCCTGTCTGATGGCGCATTACCTCCACTCGAAAAACTCCTCCTTCGGCGGTCTCGGCATTGTAACAAGTTCACAAAAGTTCTGCCCCAAAAAAACCTTGGTGACCTTGGCAAACCTGAATCGTCGTACGTAGTCCTCTTTTTTTTTTCCGCCGTCGTGCATCGGGTGATTGGGCTCGATTCGCTCATCCCATCAATTGCCGCACGTCGGTGGGCGGCCAGCGGACCTGCGCAAAAGTGAGCAGTCGCTTGATGCTCTGCAGGTACTTGCGGGTGACCTCGTCGCCCATGACGTGCCCGCGCTCGCCGTCGTGCAGCTTCTCGCGGGCACTGCGCTCGTGGATGCCCACCATGGTGACTCCGATGGGCCAGGCGGCCTTGCCGATGGACAGGCGGAGGTAACCGTCGTTCGCGTCGACGTAGCGGCGCTCTTGCGCGGCTTGGACGATCTCGATGATGGGGGCGAGGAGGTCGTCGTCCAGATCGTACTTTTCAAACTTGCGGAAGAGCTGCGAGGTTGGTGTCAGTAATTGAGTGGTTGGCTGGCAAAAGAGGGTGGTCGTGGACATACCGGCTTCAGGTTCTCGCGGCTTTGCACCATCGCGCTGTAGGCCGTCTTGCTGGCTGTGGTATCCCGCCGCTCTTGCTCCATCGCCTTCTCGTACTCCGTCAAGACCATCGTGAAGTACGAAGCGAGCTGCCTGAACAGCCATCGCCTGCCCTCCTTGTCCTTGGGCACCGTGCCGGCGACCTTCATGTCCTTCTCCTCAACCAGCTGCAGTGTCGTCGGTATCGGGCCCTTGGTCATCACCGTCGTGAGCCTCCTGTACCTCCGCAGCCTGGTCGCGTGGCTCTCCCCAAACAGCGTCGCCGGCTCGCCCAGATCGCGCAGCTTCGTGTAGAGTTCTTCGTCGGGTATATCCTCCATGCCGTCCTCCATCTCGGAGACATCCTCGCTGCTGGCCTTGACGAGCTCCGGGAGCCCGAGCCGCCGCCGTCGCGCGCGCTCTTCCTCCTCCTCTTGCTCCTCACGCCGCTTCCGTGACTCCTCCGCCAGCCGGTGTCTCTTCTCCTCGCGAATCTTGTGCTCCTCCGCCGCCTCCTCTTCTCGCTTGCGTTTCGCAGCGGCCTTCTGCTCTCGCTCTTTCTCGAGGCGGGCTTGTTCGGCCAGGTACTCCTCCTTCCGCTTCGCTTCGACGTCGGCGCGCTTGAGGTACTTTGAGGATGACGACGAGCTGGACTCCTTTGATGACTTGTCCAGCTCTTTTGACATGAGCGCTGCGAAATCCATGATTACGGTTCGCTGTCTATCGATCGTTGGGGGTTCGTCGTCAGGGGAACTTCGTCGGTCGCCGTGGCCAGTGCTGGCTAGGGGTGGGTCCGTTCCAGCTCAGAAGGGTGTGTTGTCTCGTGCCTGCGTCGCGATGGCAGTCCCGTCCCTTGATGGCCGTTTGTCTTCGCCCGCGTCGATGAAAAGTCGATGAGATGTCGTTGAACAGCTCGGCATGGGATAAAAGAAAAAAATCGGATAAAACGTTCCGCAAAAGCTTACTTTGCTTTATTTTTACGTGTTTCCCCCACACCTTGGGGGAGGCAGTGCAAAAAGTTGTGGTGGACGATCCATGCATGGAAGCTCTGGAAGATCGCGCTTAACTTGCACAGCCTCACTCGCCTACGACCTTGACTCCAGTCCGGGGGAACGCACACACGCAAACTAGTTCCCGCGTTTTCCTGCTGGACACCCCCCGAAAACGTGTCTTTGTACCTGTTCGTCGCAAGGGGAGCTTGTCAAGCTTTTTTTCCCGGGCGATTTCCTTTACTCCACCGATTTCCTGTGTTTTGCAGGCTTAGGTGCTTGCATTTGACGTCGTGTGTGCAGTGTTGGTTTCGTGATACTTCACCCATCCGACCACACCCACCCGACTTCCGAACCACCTGCTCAAGCCAGAGCCAAGGAAGGACGTGATGGCTTCATACGACCGGGAGGTGACTACCCCATTCTTGCTCCGGCTCTTTTACAAGAATGGGTCATTTCACAGGTAAAGTGGGACTCAGTCACCCCGTCGCTTCGGGCTTGTAGACATAGCTTGCTAATGAATTGACTTCCCAGGCCGGACGAGTTCGCATCAAGGAGCCTGCCACCGTCGCTGTCGCTCTACACCTGGCCCAGCAGTACCCTCACCGAGCTGGCGGAGCAAGTAGCTGCGGAAGATCCCTCCCTCCTCCCGAGCCCTTCCGTGGGCACAAGGCTCGCGTTCCGATTGATCTACCCCGACGCCCGAAACGCGGCAGCCACCGCGGGCGCACATCACGCCCCGACACAACCACGGTTCATGGTGAAAGACCTGGGCAGCGTAGTGCTCGGCGGCGACGGCGCTTCGGCAGCGCTGCTTGCCGCGGCCAACGGCGCGGAGGGAGACGATGGAGATACCGAGATGACGGGAGCTGCCGCGCTGGCGACCGCGGAGACGGCGACGAAGGACAAGACGCTTGGGGAATTCAAGTTCGTGGTGGGCGACTACGTCTCATGCGCCATCTTGCCGCCGCTCGCCGACGGCTCCGTTGCGCCGGCGATAACAGCACGGAATGATAGGCCAACGGGCCCGAGGGGTCCTGCGGCTGGGCATCCTCCGCACAATAACCGGCGAGATGCTGGGTTTGCAGGACGCCCAGGTCGGGACAGGGAACGGCGACGCTCTGGATTTGGAGACGGTGGTTTTCCTGAGGGCGAGTGGAGGAGAGGTGAGAGGCTCCCTGATGAGGCCCCTGAACGGTCTTGGGGAAGAGGAAGGCGGGGAGAGAGGGGCGACAGATGGTGATTTGGACCCATTTTGTTCAGTTGCGACCCGAGGAGTTTCTGGCTTTCCTGATCTTCATCGACTTTGCCTTCGACTGGAAACGACAATGTCGGCTTCACTCGTTCGGAAATGGGTTCTACAGATTTTGGTCAACGAGGTAGGCTTCGGAAGCTATACGCCGCTCCGTAGTTGTTGACCTGATTATCACAGGGGACCGCGTGACCGGGTAGCCATCTTCGGGATGTGAGGGCTCTATTCGCCCTGACTTGGAAGATATAAGCGACGGATGGAAAACTTGCATCATATGACCGATCCAGGCTCACCGCTGAGCTCCGAGAAGACGTTGGGGACGAAGTTTGACGCCTAGGCGGGTTTCCTAGATAGCTTCCGGCATGGAGGCAGCATGGAAGGTTACGAACTACGGGAGACGACGATGATCAGGGCCGCCGACGGGTTTGTCAAAGCCCCAGTAGGCACATTCAGGGCAAGATGGATTCAATGCTGAGAATGCATCACGGAAGTGGTGTACATGTATGGCTCTGTCGGGACATGCCGTCAACTCGAGAGATTTTGAGAGACGAGCATGGTTCGCCAGAAATACCGGAGGCAAGGAAGCAGAAAGGGGGCTTCGGATCACGACTAAGGGAACGATTGCGGTGGCTTCGCAATCGGCACGGCGTAAAGGTTATCAATAGGGATACCAATTGTTTTCATTGGGGTCATTAGCACCCATACATCATCGGGACATATCAATCAGAACATGCTTCAAACACGGCAAATGTGACCTGAGGCGTTGCTTCGAACAAATGGAAACTTGAATTGTTTTCATTTATTTCTTCCTTTCCAGCGTGGATCTCCAGGCTCATGTACGACCACAGCTCCATTGTACCAAGTCAATCTATCGCTCGTAGACGAGGTCGCCCTTGCGCTTCGCACGCAGATCCCAGAGACCCTGTTCATTGCGTCAGTATGTGCCCCTTGGGTATTCCAAACCGTGCTTAACGCCAGGCGGAGTTCGGGAGAGAGGGTAGGGCTCACGTCGGTCTTGTAGCCAATGTATCCGATGATCGCAGGGACAACGGCAATGTAGATGAAGGAAATGCGGGCTGTTCTCGGCGTCCATCGGAAGAAGATGTGTCTGTTGCTCTGCATGTCTGTTCGGCGTCCTCGGTTAGCACCTCCACTGCTCCTTCTCTCGCGACGCAATCGATTGTATCAATTCAGCTCGGATATTGGATTTAACGTACGTCCCAGCTTGACCAAGGCCGGGTCAAGGGCCAGCTCTGTCCGCAAGAATTAGCATTTCTTCAGGTGTATTTTTGGGGTGTCAGATTGGCTCACTGTGGTGCTCAACGCCGCCTGCCATCTTGATCGATGTCAGAGCAATGCTCAATATGTGTCCTGGAGAAGAATTGGCACAGTCGGGACGACGAAGTTTGCGGGTTTCCGGGGTTAATCGGCAGAGCTCATCGACTTGTGCTGCTTGAAGCGCCGTGATGCGCGATGCTCAGCCGACCGTTGGAGTTGCTTGCTTAGGTAATACTGTCTCATGCCTTGAGGGTCAGGCAATAACCAATCATAAGGGCTGTATTAGCCAGATGCTTAGACACTGTGACACTGTGCGAGGCTGCGCTCTCCAGAGCGCCCTGACAGTTTGAAGTCAGTACGAACACTGCTTGACACACTTGTCCGGCTCCCGCAGGTTTCCTCTAGCTGGAACTGCTGCTGTTTACATAATCACACCAAGTCAACGTGCCAGAGTGGTTAATGGGCTGCCCTGCTATTACATCTAGCTTTCGCTGGAAAATACACAGGCAGTGGCTTCGGTCGCGCAAGTTCGAATCTTGTCGTTGACGCAAGTCCTCTTTGCTATTTTTCCTCAACTTCATCCCGTATATTCCGCTCTCTTCGTGTGTGGTTTCGCCGATACTTTTGAAGTTATCGTCTGAACTTTGGCTGTTTCTCCCAGCATTCAATTGAGTTGTGCTGCAGTCGCAAAGTACCTCGCACTCGGGTTTCAATGAAGACTACCTAGTGCTTCTTATATTGACTTCAGGATCGTAGCTCAGCATCGAGGAAACTGCTGTCTACTCAATTTTACCCCCCAAGACTCTAATCATTATGACGCTAACGTGTGAGATCTGGACCAGAGGAAATTGCAGTCGGAGCCAAGAGTTCCTCCGAAGATGCAGTCTCTCCGACGATCATGAATTGGGCACTTGATTGGGATATCGACCGATGCGTTTGTGCCGAGGCAAGCCTAAAATGTGGGGGTCTCAATTGGTGTTGCTCAGAATGCGCTGCTGCGACAGAGGACGGTCCAAGTGTTTTTGTTTGGAAGCAGGTGAAGGTGAACTCGGTGGGGCCCGGACACTTGAGTTTCCGGTGTACTAGTGACGTATAAAATGAGGGACATGACCTCGGTGATTTATTTGCTTGCCGGTTTACTTGTACGTTACTGTGATTGCAAAAAGGTTCGGCCATTGTCTTGAGATAGTCCAGCTACGTTGAGTAACATCGGAAAAGATAAGACGCAGTACCACATTCCAAGCGAAACATTAGCAGGATGGCAACAGAGGAACCCAAGGTGAAGCTCTACTGGCAAGTGTCCGTGAAGTCCTGTACGACCAAGATCTCACATACCACTAGGTTGGAGCAGTCCAGAGCCCAGAATATCCTTTGGCTGCTCGAAGAGCTAAAGATCAAGTATGAAGTGGAGGTCTTCCATCGCAACAAGCAGACTCTGCTTGCGCCTCCAGAGCTAGCCAAGGTTCATCCCCTCGGCAAGTCTCCAGTCATCGAGATCTTCCCAGGTGGCTCTGGAGAGTCAATCAAGCTGGCAGAGAGCGGTTACATGACGCAGTACCTGTGTGATCACTTTGGCAAAGACTCCGGTCTGATACCCAAGAAGTGGAAGGACGGCCAAGAAGGCAAAATCGGAGGAGAGACCGAAGAGTGGACGAGATGCCAGTATTATATGCATTACGTTGAAGGAAGTCTGCTTCCTGTCTTTACCTTGTCTCTCGTCATCTCAGGTTGGTCTATCTCGAATGCCTCAATTTAGCATCTTGTCAAATATCGCAACTAACACACCTCGTCAGCCCTCAAATCGGACAATGTCCCCTTCATCGTCCGGCCTATCACTTCGGTGGTCGCAAACAGGATCTTCAGCATGATGATCTTCCCTAACGCCAAGAAGCATCTGTCCATGATCGAGGAGCATCTTACAACTGCTCCAGGTGGAGGAGACAAGTACATTTGCGGTCCCAACTTGACAGCTGCCGATATCCTACTCAGCTTTGCCCTCATCGCTGCTGAGGGCAGGCTGGACGGATTTGGAAATTGGCCAGGAGGCTCAGCCAAGAAAACGTACCCCAAGGTATTTGCGTATATCGAGCGACTCAAGAAGGAGCCCGGGTATGAACGATCTGCTCAGAAGATCCGCGAGATTGATGGCAAGTTTGAGGCCACCATCTCTCGATTCTAAGGGGCATGGGGGTTGGGAAACTGGTGGGCGGAGAACATATACCACTTTGCATTATTTTTTTCTTCCTTTTCTGTTAGTAAATTTTCAGTCGTAACAATTCCACGTAACCTACCTACCTACCAAGTAGAAACGTTACTTGGACTGGTGACCTGAAGCTAAACATCAATCGTGAAAGTGGGAGAAGCGATCCTAGGCCCAAGCTCTCTCGGATAAGGTAGGTACGTCTTAGCGCTACAGCCAATTGACAGGGGCGGTAGCCACCAAATCGGCGTGCATCCTTCCGTGCCCCGACCTTGCGTCCCATAATTTTCATCGAAAATCACCAACTTGCAGCTCAACGCAAGCCTCCAACCCCACGTCACACGGTTGCTCGTCCGATTGCCAGACGCCATGCTGGCTTCGAGGACGGTATGCGCTCGCTGCCGGACCAGGCTTCTGGCTGGCGCGATCGCTGCCAGCACGACCCGCCCGAACTCGACAGCAAGTTTCCCCTCCGTCACTGCCGAGCAACCCTCCGACACGACAGCGCAGCCACCGCGGGCCCAGGCCTCTGAGGCTTCTCCAAACAAGACCCGTTCAAGAAGATCAAAGAATGATGCCGATGCGAAGAAGCGAGCGCTGGACTTGTTCGAAAGCGCCATCAACAAGAGCAGGGGCGAAGAAGCCGTTGCGCAGGAGACGCCGTACACCTTGGAGAAGCTGGCCCGGCTTGCGAAAATACTCGATACTGTCCTGAACTCGAATTTGAAGAAGAACATCACTGTTGAAATCGCAGCGAGGAACTTCGTTGTTCTGGAGACAGAGGTCTTGCCAAGTTTACGAAACTCGAAGATACCACAACCTATCTTGATGGAAGCTTCGCAAGCATTGCGACAACTTATAGACTTCAAACTCGTCAATACGCACGCGAAAGAACTCCCGAGCCTGACAGACCTCTGCCGACTCATGTCTGATTTCGGAAATGTGAAGCCTCAGTCACGTTTGCAGTTCATTAACACATTCCTAAATGCAATCTTACCAACGCTTTCCGAAGCAAAAGATGACGCCAACATGGAGTCCGCAACTGTGGAAGAGGGGTTACTACAGGATCTTGTCGATTTCTGGAAGCATTTTACTGCGTTACGGCGCGTGGACAGCGGTCTCCGATCCGAGCCGAAATTCTGGCTCACCTCGAGACCGGACTTGCGAAGCAGCGACCAGCCGGTGAAGCTCTTCAGGCTGCTACTACATTCTGTAGCAGCCAACGTGGTCGGATTGGACACTGCGTTAGTGACTACGTATGTCCTACTTTCAGACCCTGCATACGAACACACAAAAGCGAGGGAAGATGCGGCGCCTCTCCTCGAAGCGTTGGAACCCATTATCAAGCGTTTCGACCGCGGAAAACTTCACCCTCTATTTGAGGCGCAACCCAAGTTGTGGCAGTTTGTTGAACCAAGGGCAGACTGGCGGGTCATTCAAGCGGCTCCCAACGTGTTGGGTGAGTTCGCCACTGCTGCGCCAGACGGCTGGGCCCCAAAACATGGCAAATTCGCCTACGCACTGTGGCACAAACGCTTCAACATGGCGTACCGTGGAAACGACCATGCAGCCGTGCAGCAGGCTTGGAGAGATCTTATCGAGCCACCTAATGATGCAAGTCGGGCGGGCAAACTTCGTAGATGTCCTGAGCTGTTCGATTACATATTGCACATTGCCTGCCATAAATCTCGATATGAGAAGGCCATATACACGCAGGTCATTTCCGAGGTTTTAGAATACATGAAGGCCATCGGCCTCGAGCCAACAATCAGGACATACACCTCTATGATGGAGGGTTGGAAGCTGGCAAAGCGAATCGAGCCTATCGAACACATGTGGGAGTCTATCACGACAGCTGGGCTGAAACTGGACCATCAGATTTGGTCAAGTCGGATATCTGCGCTTGGCGGGCTTGGAGCAGGGTGGGATGGCATCAGAGCGCTCACCCAGATGGACAAAGCGTGGCAAGAGGCAGTAAAGAACGGAACAGAGGACCAGGCTCTCAAACCTGCCATGTCGAACGTAAATGCGGCAATATCCGGGCTTCTGTGGCGAAACCGCATGGACGGCGTAAAGAAGGTCTTGGAGTGGGCTTCTGAGAGGGGCCTGCAGCCTGACATCTACACCTTCAACATGCTTCTCTCCAGCATGTTGAAGCAAGGCAAACACGAGGAGGCGGACAGGATACTAGTCAGCATGAAAGCGGCAGGTGTCAAGCCAGACGGCGCCACTTTCACCATTATCATGGATACCGCCTTCGCCGACATATCCCAGCAGTCGCCCGAGGAGCAGAAAGCCACTATTGGGAATGTCTTCAGGGAAATGAAGGCCTGTGGTATCGACCCGAATCAGGAGACGTATGCCAAGATGATACATTCTCTCATCAGACAGGGCGACGTCGCGCGGTCGTCCATCACAGCCATCCTGGCCCACCTGCGCGCCACTGGCCAGCAGCCCTCCACCGAGATCTGCACCATGCTCGTCGAGTACTTCATCGACCATCAGCCCGACCTCGACACCGTCCGCGCCCTCGTTGACGACCGCCGGTCCCGCGCACGCGCTCTGACGGACCGCGTCTTCTGGGAGACCGTCATCAAGTACTACCACCGCGCAGACGACCTCGACGGTGCTCTCGAGATCGTGTACGACCTCGACGACTGGGGTATCTGGCCTGGCCTGCCGCTGCTGGAGCCCCTGCTCCGGTCACTGCTTCACCGCAAGGACTGGGACGCCGCTAAGAAGCTCGTGGGCACCGTACGGCGACAGCCCCGTCCGGAGGCTGCTGACCGAGAAAGTCGGTACTGGAGGCATGCTTTCTGGGCTGTGGCAAGGGACTACGACTTGGCTGATCACAACGCACAGGTGGTGCAGAATTAGTGATGGCCCTCCCCTTGTACGATGTCGAAGAGACTATTGTATAACACGTTAGAATATTAAAACCAATGCCTTTTCATTTATAGCCTTTTGTTGGTGATATTAAGACTTAAGTGAAATCAAAATTGGCGACTTGCCCCGGGGTGGTTGATTGATCAGCCCGCGGGCGGCGAGCTCATTCCCAAAGAAATACGAGGTCGTAGGAATGTTGGACCACCTCCCACTTCTTGCTAACGTATCGCCCTTTTTTGAGATGGATCAAGACTGACCCATATCCAAGAAAGGGCCCCCATGCCATGTTGGTTGTTAATCTGGCACTATGACAAACCACGCGAGGGTCTTTGAGGGTTCTTCCTCCCAGATGCCCATTGAACAAGGCGTTGCCCTGGCTCAAAAGTTCATAATAGATAGAAATGATCATGTGTCTGTCCTGAAAACGTCCCCTTTGGAGTGCTGTTCACGTCTGCAGCAGTC